ACACACACACACATACACACACACACACACACACAGACTATTTTCATTCAGACATAGGAACCGAACAACTATAATGAAAAATAACGTTAAAAGTTTATGAAGGATAGGCCTGTAGGAACAGAAAATGTCTTTTGAAGCTATCAAATGTTTTTATTTGTCTTAGTTTCATGGGTAATCTGTTCCACATAAATGGACCAAGATATGAGAAAGTTCTCTCTCCATATTATTTGTATGATTTTACGGATGTCACAAGTAGGGTGTTATCGTTTGATGATCTTAGGTTTCTCCCTGGCTTATATATACTGATAAGTTCTTTTAGATAAAAGGGAGCAGTTTTATTTACACATTTGAAACACATGACGCAGATTTTAAATATTATTCTTTCTTTTACAGGGAGCCAATGCAGTTCTTTTGATAATGGAGTGACATGGTCTCGTTTTTTAGATCTTGTTATCAGTCTAGCGGCATTGTTTTGAATTACTTGTAAACGATTCAAATATTTGTTGTTCAGACCTGCTAGGAGTGAGTTACAATAGTCTAAAATGTGTGCGAGAAGCGGGAAGTGCTATGAACAATCACATTTTTTGCGTGATGGAGATTTATAAGCCTAGTATTTTATATAAATTTATGAAGAACATTTTTTTTTATCGAGCCTCAATTGTTGTGGAAAAATATGATTGAGTTAATTAAGTCATTAAAAAAAATTCAAACTGCTGTGCAAAGTATGGGTGACATTGATTCTCCTGTTAAAGAGATATTTGAGGAAAAGTTGCGCCACGAATTTTCGACCGCACTATAGTTACACGACACCTGCGCGCAAAAGTTGTCAAGTTATACTAATGTTGTTTTATTGTTAATGTGGACAGGCGTATAATATACTGAACGCCAAAAGAAACGCAAGTCATTAGTTTGGTCGATTTACACCCTAAATTGTGTTGAAAAATATTTTTCAGATAAATACTAGTGCACGCTCCTGAGGTGTTTAGGTCTCCTGAGTGCAGCCTGTGAGTGCTGAGTAAAAAGTACTCAACTTAAGCTCACGAAAGTCGGTCAATGAAAAGTTTTTGCTTTTAGCCCAGTGTGATTGAAAACAGAGATGAGCGAATTATTTTTTTCATGATTAGTGTTCATGGCATATCAGGGTATAAAAATACACACACCGCTACGCTTAGGCCAGTGAAGCAGTTGACCGCTAAGACGATGCCACGACTGAGCGCTGCAGATCGAGAGGGAGCCCTTGGGCGTTTACGAGCTGGGGACAGCCGCACTGACGTCGCTATCGCATTTCATGTGTCCCTTTCAACAGTTTGTAGGTTGTGGACACGTTTTCAAACAACTGGCAGCACCCAAGACTTGGCCAGAA